CCCCCCCCTCCATCTGCTTCCAGCGACCCGCCTGGTCCCTCCCCTTCTCCCCTTTCCCCTCTCCCCTCCCCTCGCATCCTCTCTGCGGGGTGCCTCCCCAGGCCCACCGTCGGCACCTCGGAGGGTGAAACGTTAAACACTGGTTTTTGGAGGTGCTTTTGAGACGTCTCGGGCAGTAAGGGTGGAGAGGGAGCGCGTGATCTTTAAAGTCCGTGCAGCAGCGGCAGCCTGGTCCTGTGGGCACTGACATGGCGCCTGCCTGCCCCGCTGTCGCCCCCAGATGAGGCAGCTGAGAAGGTGTCCAGGGAAGCTACGGCTCTCACCGAAGTCTTCTCTCGACTCCCGCGGCCACCGCCGTCCGCACAGGTGGGCTTTGAGTTCCTGTGCTGCCTCCTGATTCCTTCGGCATCCTCTCTCCATCTTTCCACCTCTGAGCGCAGCCAGGGGATTTATTCTTCTTACCTGTCAAACAGGACTGCAGTTCTCACCCCCCAGGATTGCTGTGAGGACCACATTGCCACGTGCAGGGCCTGGCCTGGAGTAGGCTGGTCTTATAAGTAGTATTGGCTTAACCTAAAGTTCATTCTGGTTATTACCTTTCTGGTCATTTAAGCACTTGCTATTTGTTTTCACATACCTGACCCCCATCTAGCAGATGAGTCAGCAGGCTCAGAGGCTAGGGTTAAGGTATATAAGCAGTGAGTTAGGATTTAAATTAGGATCTATCTGATGTCTAAGCTGTACCTTTTTTGTTACGCTACATCCCTTTTTATATTCAATTATTTTTATATTAATCAGTAACTATACAGTATAAAATTTAAAAAATATCAAAGTTAAGTGTGCTACAAAGTTTATTTCTCCGTTCCCCAGTTCCTTTTGAATTATTCATAAGTATTCTATGCATATGCACATTTATTTATATATGCCTGCTTCTTTTTACACAAATGACAGAATGCCATAAACACTTTTCTGGATCTTTTTTAAAAAAATTAACGCCCTGCCCTAATCGGTTTGGCTCAGTGGATAGAGCACTGGCCTGCGGACTGAAGGGTCCCAGGTTCGATTCCGGTCAAGGGCATGTACCTTGGTTGCAGGCACATCCCCAGTGGGGAGTGTGCAGGAGGCAGTTGATCGATGTAACTCTCTCTCCCTCTCTCTTCCTCTCTGTAAAAAATCAATAAAAATATTTTAAAAATGTTAAAAAAATTAACAATATAGTTTGCAAATTGATTCTCAGCAGCACATATAAAGTTGCTCATTTCTTTGTAATGGCTGCAAGGTATTCAGTAGAGAGCATATAACCATAATTCAGGTAACCAGTACTCTATGTAGACATTTAAGCTGTTTCCAATTTGTAGCTATTATAAACAGTGCTGTAAATTACCTAATACATTCTTGGTATATGTGTGTATATTGGTAAAAAAAACAAAAAAACAAAAAACCACACACATATGCAACAACAACAAAAACAATTCCAGGAAGTGGAATTGCTAGAACAAAGACTTTATGCATTTAATAACCCCTTTATTATAAAACTAATGAAAATAAACATGTCAACTGTGACCAGGTGTGCTCTATGCCCAGTTTTTCTAGAGCTAGGTATACTGAATTTGGGATAAATTTATTTAAAAATGGCATACTCATTGCCTTATTTGATTTTCGCAGTTAATAGTTTCGTTTTCTTGCTCAATCTATATTTCCAGATGTTTTAAAATGGAAAAATACTCTTGCTGCACCTACAATGATAAACTCTCTCCCCCTACATAACTCAGAGATCTGTGATGAGGAAATGAGATTAATTATATGAGAGCACTTTAAAAACTTTATGGAAGAAAGTCAATATTTATTTCAAAGGGAGTTAGTAATAATACCTTGTTTTTCTTACCTGCCAACTCCCTTCTTTCAAATATTCTTAGGACTTGCTGCTAAAATTCACAGCTAGTAAGATACCATGAGGAGGCAGCATAGAACTATTTTCTGTACATGCTTAGGTCAGTGGTTTCATTCAGATGGAAAATTAGAATTTGGTTTTATTTGAATTATATATATTTGAATCACAATTGCTTAGGATCTCAGCATGCTAGTCTTACTGAATAATAGTTATATTTATTTTTAATTTCAGTTCCATACGGACTTTTCCTTTTATAAACTTATGTATTTGGATGTTGAAGGAATGTCAAATTGCCATAAAAGTTTCTAAACACTCTCAATCACTGTACTTATCCATCCCAGACTAGTAAACAGTTTGGGGACTGGCACCATTCTGTAGAGCACATTTTACATAGCACTGGCTTAAAATTTAGCAGCTAAATGAGGACAAGGAAGATAAGTGAAAGTCAGTGTCTGCTTAGAAGGCAAATAGTCAGCACTGAACATTGTAGAGTCCATTATTACCTTTAGGTATATTGTGATCCTGCGGAACTAGAGAAGGAGAGAGACAGACACCTGGTTAATGGTCTAAGAGGATTGGCAAACTTTTTCTGTAAAGGGCCAGATAATAAATATTTAGGCTTTGCAGGCCAGTGACGCAACTCTGCCCTTGTAGTGCAAACACAACTATAGATAATATGTAAACAAAAGAGTATGACTGTGTACCAGTAACACTATTAAAAAAAACCTGGCAGTGCACCTGACTTGGCCCAGGGGTCCATAGTTGGCCAATTCCTGGTCTAAGATAAGGTGGATATTTCACAGCAGAAATCAAGAATAAGTTTTTCCAGCTGTTTCTTCATGTTTTATTGAATTACCAGCTCAGTACCTGGTGTCCGGCTAACTTCTCTCTAGTATGTGATGAGAATAGCACAAGGCCTAACACACTAGGACTCCAGAAAGGGTTTGTGATGCTATACCGTTGTCTTCTCTCTTCCAGAGTAGAAGAGTTGACCAGATTGATCTAATCCATTTCCGTTTTCATTCTGAAATTGGTCTACCTCTTCATAGGAAGCCCAGAGGCTCTGTGAACAAGTCCATGCTGCCATCAAGGCAATTATTGCAGTATACTATTCGCTTCCCAAGGATCAGGGTAAGTCACCGTCACACATAAACATTGGGTAGACCTTGGCTAATGTGACAGCTTATGTACTGAAACTTTACCTTGCCCTCAATTTGAGCAGGTAATGTAACTTCCTCATAAAATGCAAAGATAACTTCATAATGGAAGTGACCTCTGTAAATAAGCCTTCAGCTATAGATGCTGTGTTCCCATCCCCCTCGCCTTACCTGACTCTAAGGTTTTTAATTCTCACTAGCTCCTTCCTCTCTAACCCAATATACCGTCACAGATGCTGGCTAAGTCTCAGCCCCATACCCAGGCCCAAGCTATCCCCAGTCTCCACCCATATTATATCACATCCTATTGCTGAGTTTCCTTATACATTAAGTGGCTTCCATGTCTTTTTTATTTTTTACTTTTATTGATTTCAGAGAGGAAGGGAAAGGAGAAAAAGATAGAAACATCAATGATGAGAGAGAATCATTGATCAGCTGCCTACTGGGAATAGAGTCTGCAACCCGGGCATGTGCCATTGACCAGAATCGAACCTGGGACCCGCAGGCCGACGCTCTATCCACTGAGCCAAACCAGCTAGGGCCATGCCTTTCTTATAATCAGCAGTTGGGAATGGTGGGAAGAGCAAGAAAATGACACGGGGACATAAGTCGACCTGTTTTGTGTGGGCACTCCAATTACAGCATGTGGGTGCACATTACCTTAAGTTCTGTAGTGCTTACACTCTTGAAAGTAGATGTTGGCTTCTGGAAAGAAGACCGGCTGCTTAGTCTTTGGGTTTGGCTACAGGAATCACCCTGAGGAAGCTGGTTCGGAGCGCCACTTTGGACATCGTGGATGGCATGGCTCAGCTTGTGGAAGTGCTTTGCACCACTCCAGCTCAGAGGTAGTGATGCCACGGTTGAGTATTAGTTAATGGGGTTCCTTGTATCAGGAAGGGATAAAAGCTCAGTTCAATGCAAAATTGTAGTGTAACAGAGTAATAACCAGGAGGAAGGAGCTCTTTAGGACAGGAACCTAGATTATTGATATGTCCTTATTGATTCCTTTCCTCAGCCCTGAGAACAATGACCTTATTTCTTGCAACAATGTCTGGGTTGCGTGCGAGCAGGTGCCTCAGATACCAAGAGGTGGGTAAGAGTGGGAAGTGGGTCATTGACTCTGATGGCCAAAGCAGACAGACCTCTCATACTAGCTTCC